CACCTTACCCTTACCCTCCTGGTACCCTACTCAACCCATCTGGTCAAGAAGCTGCCTCTTCACTGCCCCTCAACTGTACCAAGCACGATGTCCTTTTTCTAGGCACTGGTCTCTCCTGATAACATGTCCAAAATACATGAGACAAAGTCTCTCCATCCTTGCCTCTAAGGAACATTCTGGCTGTACTTCTTCCAAGACAGATTTATTTGTCCTTTGGACAGCCCGTGGTACTTACAATATTATTCACTGGCACCAATTCTTCTTTGGTCTTCCTTATTCAATGCCCAACTTTCACATACATATTAGATGATTGAAAATCCCACAGCTTGGGTGAGACACACCTTAGTCCTCAACGTAACATCCTTGCCCTTCAACTCTTCAAAGAGGTCTTGTGAAGTAGATTTACCCAATACAGTGTATTGTTTGATCTCTTGACTACTACTTCCACGACCATTGATGGTGGATCTGAACAAGACAGAATCCTTGACAACTTCAATCTTTTCTGTTTAACTTATCGGTCCAGTTGTGAGGATTTGGGTTCTCTTGATACGCAGTTGTAATCCATGCTGAAAGCTGCAATACTTGATCTTCATCAGCAAGTATTTCAAATCCTCCTCACTTTTAGCAAGGTTGTAACATCTGCATAAGGTTGTGACTAAGCCTTCCTCCAATCCTGATGCCATATTCTTCTTTATATAACCCAGCTTCTTGTATTATTTGCCCAGCACACAGGTTGCATGAGTCTGGTGAGAAGATACAACCCTGACACACCTTTCTTGATTCTAAACCCTGAAGTAGTCTGTTGGTCTAGTCTCACAACTATCTCTTGACCCACGCCACGTACAGGTTCCACCTGAGGACAATGGAGTGTTCTGGAATTCTCTTTCTTCTCAAGGATATCCATAGTTTTTTTATGCACCACACCATTCACAATCCTGGGGGATTACTAGGCTATAGCTGCCAAACCACTGAGAATCCCGATGCAGCCAAGTTGACACAAACTTTATCAATCACACAGCTAGCACACGGTGGCGCTAGATTTAAACCTCAAAGTCTTGATCCAGAACAGATGCTCATAATCTGTTCTAGAAAATGAAAGTCTCATGAAGGGCTTGCTGCACAACAGCCGTCCAAGGCAGACCTAAAACCAGACCACTTAATTCCTTCTGTCAATGCTAAGAGGATGGGACGCAATGGACCTTGAAAAGCGGAGGCTTTCAGCAGCGCTAACTTCCATGAATCCATCTCTCCTTCTCCTCTGTGACTGAGAATATACTGTAGAGGGCATGTGTCATAACAAAGGCCAATGAGCACAGACACCTCTCTCTCTCTCTCTCTTTTTAGAACACAGGAAT